TTCAAACCAATATACTAAAACAGAAATGCTCAGAGATGCAAATGAAGGATAGATATACTTTCACTATACACATCTCTGTGGTACTATCCCTCACATATCTACTCCCAATTACTCCTGCGTAAAATGGACTAGCCTCTTTTCATGTTGACATTCAGAGTAAAATCATGTGACAGGCTGTTAAAATTGGCTGTTGCATACTCTTTCGCCGGTCTGGAAAATGTGTTTAATTAACTCACATTCAAGCAACAATGCAGATTTCCCAGTGGGAGAGAGACTATTCGACTCTGCCACTAAAAAATAGGGGTGTTTTCAGCAAAAAACGAATAACCCTGGAATACACACAATATACTGAATTTCGGAACAAATCGTGCATTACTTACAGCAGCAGAATACCACAGAAATATCAGACGAAACATGAAAGCACTATATATTGTATTTCAGCCTGAACCCTCTATATTGCAATTCAAGGAATTAACCCCATATGTGCATCCATTTCCCACCTTGGTATCACCCACCCCTGAAAACAAACTCTTAATACCACGCTGAAGCGTTTGGTAATAAGTAAACAATCTATTTATCAACCTCCTGAAATACATGTTATTACTCTGTGTCCTAAATATGCAAGTTGTTGATTCTAAACAATTGTGAAACGACGTATGAACCGAATATAACGTGACGTCGCCATCATAACACAATAGAGAAACATTGGTTATTTTATTGATTTGAACATACACTGTTTATACATGAAAATACTCCCTCTATTGCTTTTATTTTAAACTGTTATAATAATATAAACAGTTTTCTGGAAGAAAACAAATGTGTAGAATATATTTGATAAAAATGATCGACAGTCGTTGGTATAGCAACTGTACAAACATACAGTAGATTGTATATACTTGCCACTTGGTGGCGCACTAACCCTAACATTTGAAACGTAATATGGTTGCATGGTTGATAATTTTAGTATTAGTCAACTGAGTCTTCTCTGTCGTTTTTTTAAATATTTATATACAAATTACAGTTTACTACTAAACTCACATGAAATCAAATTGTATCAATATATCAATATACTTATATTTATTACATTTTATACATTCAATGTCACAAAACAAACAGTTTGGAATATTGAAATAATGCGTGCCTAGGATAAACAATGGCAAAGTGCCAAAACACGTGACATGCAAATTGTGTTATCATTCCATTTTGTACATCTGAGTATGACCGAAAATTTTGATTTCATTTTCATCATCAAAGCATAATCAACAACAGACGACACCTAGTCACCGTCATGCCACTTGTACACGCATACAATACCCTGTGATTACATATCCATTATGCCAATTCAACACCCAAACCATTCTACTTGAACACACATAACATGTCACTGGGACACCACCACCAGGCAGTGTGACTATATGTGATTGCAGGGTAATGCTACGCGTTGAACTCAGAGAAACGCTTTTGCATTCAACTTAGGGAATATATCATCTACTCGGTATATGCGCAGATTGTACCATTTGGATGAATCAGTGCATAAATCAGAAAGCTGTCAATTGTCGCGTGTTGTTCTATTTCATTTTTTGTCATGCTTATTTCTGGAATCTATGCCTTTTGGAAACTTTCAATTACGAATTAATATGCAAAGAATTGAGCTATAATTGTGTTAATTACAATATAGGGTATATTGTCATATAATCATTTTATCATGCGCAATTGAAACGTGACCTCACTTATGAGAGGGAACATTGCAAGTGAAGTAGTATGTGTTTAATATACCTACAAGGTTTAATGGTCAGCTGCCAAGAGGAAGTAAACGGATGTATCCAAAAAGCCATTTTGTGACGCGGCATTATTCACCCAAATTCTTCAAACTCATTGGGAAATGTTGACTTTATATTTTATTTAAATATTGACAATATTGTTAGACATTGCAGCTATTGTATACTTGTCTCCAAATCCCCCCCCCAAAGCCAGCAATCAGGAAACCCTCTGATTGTTTTATTATTTACTTGTACAACCTACGCATATAAATATTTGCGTCAAATGGGAAAAATAATTTACATACTGCAAGCTATGCTGAGAGCAGATATGGTTTCAGTTGTCAATTAGTTTCGCTTCATCTTCTCCCAAATACACAATCTTTCCTAATTTAACTTCTGAATGCATAAATACCACTACAAAATGAATACATGTAAAGTAAAATAAGTCCTGTCAATGTATTACTATGATATTTATAGATTAGTTATGTTTTTTAAGACGTGTTTGTGTAATGTTTTGCTCCTTGACTATCAAATTTCTAATGTTTGTACAATCTAAATGCGCAAAATTATCATGAGTTCGCCCGTTTTACCATCCATCCATCAAGCAGGGGAAATAAATAAATGACAAAATAGGATTAAGACGGTGAACATGTTTCTTAGAACAGACTTTGAATTGACACAAGTTTTTCATCCATGCTATATTACACGTCTTTGTTAAACGTAAGTATACTGTTTTCTTGCACTAAATGCAAATCTGTGTTACTACCATATCCACTCAACGGATTGTACATAAGCCTGTTTTCATAGCAGAATTTAAACGGGTTAATTCCGCAAATTGGGATGATGGGTTTAGCACCTCTTGCCCACTAAAACTGTTGATCGACATGCACGCATTTCCCATAATACAACGCGACAATGGCTCCATTGTAACGGTGCGTCACTAACCAATGATCGTTCCCGGACGAGATGCATTATGGGAGTGTGGTATTGCACGTGCCAGGCGCTTTAATACAAATGAAGAAACTTATGCAACTCTATAGCGCCCTTATATGTTGTAGTGCAAAAACAAAAACTTTTGTTTTACTTTACACAAATGTATGTTTGTGTATAAGGAATATCATCCAACATTCAAGTTCCTTGGAGTCAAAACGAGTAAGAAATTCCAAATTGTCTAACTATTCACCATTTATTTGAGTTATTTACAAATATGTACAAGAGAATTCATACTAATATAATGTTTCACATTGTGTTGAAGAAAATTAAAAGAAAATCTTGTAGTTGTATATCAGGCTGGGTAACCCAATAAAAATAAATATGTTAGATATTTGTAAATGCAACAGATTTCAGTCAAATGATACTAGAAGTAAGTAATAGTGCAATGTAACATTTCTGTACTAGATTTTTTTTAAATTTCTGAACAGCTGTTTTTGCTGAGGGAACTATCCTCTCGTACATTTTTTCTTTGATAGAGACTCCTGTTTCTGTGTATCATTTTTTTTAATAACACACCAATCCCCTGGCTCAACAAAACTAACTGTATGAACGTAATGTGGTATGTGTTCAGTGCACCAGAGTTTAATCCCTAGGTACAACACACATACCATGAGCTACAAATTTACACGATTTTTACAAAGTAAATTAGCAGTGAGTAGTTAATAAACAGTACACAATTGTATTCATCCAACAACCGCAAACATGATAGTGAAGATAAAGCGTAATAGAAGACACGATGACTCGAAGTAATGAGTCAGTACATCGGTCAAATCCTCCCCTCGAAAACAATGATTCGCATTTTCTTTAATACTGGAAGGTGACCTTTAACCCCACGGTGCCCATACACCGTTATGTAGATCCGGGTTACCGTAGATGACGTCAATCACACCGGGATAATTCGGCTTGACCGTCTGCTGACTAAATTCGCCCAGTCGTTTCAGCAAAGCCTCCACTACTTCCGGATACTCGTCAGCGCGATCGTCGTGTTCATACGGATCATTCGGTATGTTGTATAATCGTACTACTTTGCCGTATAACTTTTTCAGGTTTATGACCTCATATCCGCTCTCTGGTGAGGGTATCCAGCTGTCGTTGCCTGGGAAACAGGAAAGATAAAATATACCTTAAAAAATTAAGTCCGAAAAAATGTAACTGTGTATTATGAGTAGTATGCCATAGTTACGATGTAGCTTAATTAGCCGGCAGTTGAAGTGAAAACGTGGATATCATTATATAAACATTTGAGTACCTCGGGGATTTCCACAAGAAGCCCAAATCCCTAAAGTTAGGTGGTACTGTAATTAATTGAAAGTTCACGTACAGTTTCTATTGGCTAAGAGTTATTAGTAAAACAATATACTATTATATGTGTCATTGTCGTCAGTGAGGCTGATAGTTTTATTTCTACAAATATATCCCTG